CACCCCTCTCTCTCATCGCTTTTCTCATTCAACATATCCCCCTATCCGGACTTATATAATAGATATCACCCTCCCCACCCCACCTTCTGTTTATTGTTGTTGGCTAGTTGTATATCTTATTTCTTCCTACCCCTCCCCTAATCATTTTCTTCTGCCCACATTCTGCGTGTCCTTTGCTTATTTCAACATTTGGGAAACATACCGCATCATCATACTCATCATCATCACCATCATCATCATCATCATCATCATCATCATCATCATCATCATCATCATCATCATCATCATCATCATCATCATCATCATCACCACCATCTTATTCTCATCTGTTTCTTCTCATCGGGCATCCTGCCTGTGGCTTGATCCATATTTATTTCCCATCCCCTAATTTAAGTAATACACATTTTGGCCTTCCCGAGAAAACAACCCCAAGGAATGATTAGTCTCCAAACCTCATCCTCTTTTCGATTACCATCCCTCTTCCAGATACGGTGTGAAAACCCAGTCCGACTCATACACATCCGGTCCTCCTCGTCGTGTCCTTAATAGTCCCTCCAGAAATCCTTTTACAAGCTCTATTGAGAAGAAAGCGAAGAAATGGCTCCCGCTGCTTTATCCGGTAACAATCCACAGACAAAAAAGTCAACTGCCCCTCCAGAGAGGAAATACAAATGCCAGTTTTGTTATCGTGCCTTCAGTCGAAGCGAACATCGTAGTCGCCATGAGCGATCACGTACGTTGAGATTTTTTTCTTTTTCTTATTTACTGTTCTTCTTGTTCCACCATTTTCAAGCTTTTGTTTTTTGGCCCTTGAGCAGTGTGGGGGTTAACCACCGCCCTCCTAAACGCGTTCCTTATCCCCATCATCCTTTTGAGTGGAATTTTTCCAACTCCTTTTGGTGGTCCCTTGCACTCAGCTCCTCCGTATCTCTCTCCGTTCCACTATCAATCTATGTGGGGCCAACTATTAATAATGAATATTTTACCTGACATATACAATCATACAGATACTAAGGAACGACCCTTTAAATGCTTGAAATGTCGAAGTACCTTTGTTAGAAGAGATTTGCTCCTCAGACACGACCGCACAGTCCATGCTAAGGATGGAGGTATACCGCTTGTCACTGAGGGCCGTCGACGTGGTGGACAAAAAGCATCGACAGCATCAAATAAACCGTCGAAACCGTCTATCACAATAGATCCTGCCGCTCTGGGTCAGATCGACGCAAGCAGCGACGGTATGGTAGATATTGAAACCGCTGCGATGTTGATGACAGACTTTCAACACAAGGCCGCTGCGGCAGCCAACAACCAACACCACGACGGCTCTGGTCGTGAACCTACGTATTCGCCTGACCATGCTGTGATTCTGGAACCTTCCGTCGCATACCTATCTGGTAATGCTACTTTACCACAGATGCCTTGGGATACCTTTATGTCTACCCCGGATGTTAAATCGCACCCTTCAAGTCTTGAGTCCCAGGACTCGTCGCACAATCAACACCACCGATCCTCCATTGACAGACATGGCATGGGCTCTGATAGCCTAACCCCAGCCTTACATTCCTTAGTCAACTCGCTTCCAATCTCTGGAAACTCTACTCCAAATGATCTTTCACCTTATCACTCGATGACTGGCCCTGTTTCTCCGGTAAACTATCGACGGTCTCCTGGTCCAAGCCAAGCCCTTACCTCACCGAGAGCCCCACAGATCGCCAACGATGCTGATCGTGATATAATTATCGATCGAGTCAAAAGTGCCGATGTACTCGGGTCTCTCCCTAATAGCTTCCAACTACCATCAACTGCAACTCTAAATGGATACCTGACAACATATTTCGACTTGTACCATCATCACTTACCGTTTCTTCATCAGGAATCGTTCGAGCCATCCGCAGAGTCACCACCGCTCCTTCTTGCCGTCCTGTCCATAGGCGCTTTGTACACCTTTGAGCGCGAGCACGCTTTCATGCTACACATTGGATCCAAAGTGCTGGTTAATCAGTTCCTGCAGCATAAGGAGAACTTCGACTCGCGAAAGTGCCCCCTTTGGGCGATGCAAAGCACTCTCTTGAACATGGTTTTCGAAAGTTGGAGTGGCGATTCCAAGGGTTTGGAGTGGACGTGTTCTATCAAGAGTCTCCTTGCGAATGTAAGATACATATACCATACCGCCCCTTGTTCCATTCATAATTTCAGGTTACTAACACTTAATCCAGATGGTTGCTGGTAATCGTTACCAATTGAAGCTTCGAATAGATGCCCGAGAAGGCAACCGACCAACTCGTGAAGAATGGATCGAGGATGAAGGCTGTCGACGAACATACTACGCTGTATACATCTTTTTTGGAATGCTGACACTGACCTTCAACCATACACCTGCGATTAGTTTTGATGAGATCGAGTCGCTGGACCTTCCTTCGTCAGAGTCAATGTGGAACCTACAGATTTCGAATGATGACGCCTGGCGACGGGCCCTGAGCTCATTATCTCCCGTAACCGTCAGAGAAGCCCACGACAGCCTCTTCCGTGGTGAACCACTGCGATATAGCGCATTTGCCACTCGTGTTATGGTTAATGCTCTCTTTCTTCAAGTTTGGTCTCACAAACGTAGTTCCCAGGCTCTGCAGGACGTTGTGACAGAATTTAAGTTACGTGTCGCCATTGAAACTTGGGAGAGGTCGCTTGAGTTTTGTGAGCCGGAAACAATAGTTGTTCCCCTCAGCACCCCTCAAAGGAGCCACCCACTTATCTTCAATTCAATGGCCATTTATCGCAACACGCATGCCCGACTTGAAGTCGATCTAAAATCGATCCAGGAAGCCCTTCGATATCACTCCCCGTACGAAGTTGCCGCAGCCATGACAGTGGCCCGCGAAAAGGTCAAACGATCCGAAGAAATGAATAAGATTATTCAGCAATGCTTTGAATGCATTGAAATAGCTGCCATTCAAGGCATCAATTGGGTTGCGCAAACGTCTGCAACCAATTGGAGTGTGGAGCACCCCCTCTGCGGTTTGGATATGATGGTTATTCTCAGCCTTTGGCTCTACCGTCTGGAACATGACGCAGAAAAGGCTAGTGAGGCTGAATTGGCCATCTATAACAAAGTGCGGAATCTCTTCGACGACGATGCTGTTGACGCCTGTGGGTCGCATCTCAGTTCCACAGTCGCACGGGTGTGGGGGAATATTCTGGATGGTGTGGTTGTTTGGGGGTATGATTCCCTTCTGTTTCTTCCACAGCGTTTTTTTTACCTTATGATTAACTGACCGTATGCTGACGTTGAAACAACAGAATCACCAAACTAATGGGCGAGGCATTCAAACTGCACTCGCAGGCATTGGTGGGATATGAGGATTCGATGGTGACCTCTACTTCAGAGAATACATTGGAGCCCTTACCCTCCCAAAGCCTTGTAAGTGTAGGAGCAGCATATTAATCGAACCATTTCCCCCTCCCTCCGCTCATTCAAGACTGATTCTCGAACTTCCATTCAACTGTTCTCTATATATTCTCTTCTACTTCTTTCGTTTTCTACGTGCATATACATCTGTCTACTGCAGTTTAATTACCATTTTGTTATTCTTTCTTATTACTTTATTTTCTCTCTCATTTATATTCCTGCAGTAGCGTTCATCACCGGAGTTTTCGGACATCTTACTGTCGTAATACTCTTTCCCTCGCGTTCGTTTAACATCGCAATTGTTTTATGTGTTTTATTCGTCTTTTGAATCAACCTTTTTTTTTTTTGTTGAAGGCCTGATTTCCCCGAAACATCG